TATAAGCCAAATAACAAAGGGATAAAAATAATTATGGGTCACCTTTTCCCAGAACAGTCCCCAAAGTTAATAGGCTGTTTTTAGGTATGATAGAGAACGGGCAGCCCATGCCTATCATTTCTCTTGCCCTGTGGTGAGGTCATGTGGCAAACATATAAGTAAACAGAGCCACAAGTTAATTGTACTAGATCCCTCAGCCTAGCAAAGGGACTGATAGTAAATTATTCAAGTCCAAGAAGTCTTGAGATTACTTTAGTAATCTTCTCTTCCTCCCTTCCTCCAGATCTTAGCCTTCTGAGTTGCTAGTATTACAGGCATGAGCCACCAGCACGGGACTAATGATATTTCTTAAGTAGCCATTTATATTAAATATGCTGTGATTGCTTTCTGAGGCATAGCAAAGACTGCTCCTCCATACATTACTTTTTTTTTTTTTTGGGTCCGGTCGTGGGGCCTGAACTCTGGGCCTGGGCGCTGTCCCTCAGCTCTTCACTTCAAGGCTAGTGCTCTACCACTTGAGCCACAGTGCCACTCTGGCTTTTTTTTCTGCTTATGTGGTGCTGAGGAATCGAACCCAGGGCCTCATGCATGCAAGGCAAGCACTCTACCACTGAGCCACCTTCCCAGCCCCATAAATTACTTTGTTTACCCACAGGTGGGATGTATGGCAAAAATCATATGGTGGATTTGAATTTTAAGACAATCATCTCCACATAAGAAAAATGTTATCTCTATGACTATAGTAAATACAACAGCTTCATCAATTTTTTAACGTATTTTTGTAAGTTTAAACGGCTACTTGCTATTATGCTGTAAGTCTTCCTTAAATCCTGATAAATTACTCATAATGAGGCTTCAGGAGTGCTATATTAAAGCTTCCTCCACCCTCCACCCCCAGAGATAGCTAGAGAGTGTTCATGCTGGCTTTGAGATCAGACTCACTGCCAGCTACAGATGGGAGGAAGATGACTCCCACACAGCCTGCCCTGCTTGGGTGTGTTCAGCCACACACTTGAAGCAAACTAAATCCTTAGTAACAATGAAACTATCTAAATAATTAGAAACTTAGCATAGAAAAAAAGAAGACAGAGATGTTCCAGGTTTTTATTTACCTTGGGAAACAAGGTAATGAGGGATTTTTGTGAAGGCCATTTTGAAACAGTATGTCATCTTTAAGCTGTTTAGAAGGCTTCTTGCATTTTGAAGTGTTCTATAGATAAATTGTCACACAGGGAACAGGAACTGCTACAATTAAGAAAGAACCTTATTTGCAGCTGTCAGGAGGTTTGTAGCTCACTTTTGCACTCTGTGTTGTATTTAGTATATGTCCTACAGGTTGATTAAAAATTACAAAGAGGCTGGGTGTTGGTGACTCACGCCTGTAAGCCTAGCTACTCAGGAGGCTGAGATCTGAGGATCACCATTCAACGCTAGCCTGGGCAGGAAAGTCCATAAGACTCATCTTCAATGAACCACCAGAAAATTGGAAGTGGAGCTGTGGTTCAAAGTGGGAGCTCTAGCCTTGAGCAGAAAAGCTCAGGGCAGCATCCAGGCCCTGAATTCAAGCCTCACAACTGACGCCCCCCCCCCAAAAAAAAAAGTTTACTAAGATGAATTATATTCAAGAAATTTTTTTCAGTCTAACTCCTGAAAACAGCAAAAGAAATGATCAAAAAGCATCAGAATGTTCATTAGTGCCCTTGAGCCAATAAATACTCACGATCCTATGTGTTAACAGCAAAAAATATGATGATTTTATAGCAAAATATTCACTTCTATAGCTCCTAGTTATTTAGAAAGGACATGTGAAAATTCCATAGTTCTGTTTTGGCTACCTAGCACCTATTGATTGACTCCCTATTTATGATGCTATAAGAGTTTGCTGTGTGGTTGTCGACTCCAGGGGAAAACAGATATTTCCTGTTTTCCCCACCAACCTCCACTCAACTCCATGTCAGTTCATATGCAGTCTGAGGAAGACAAAGGCACAGATGTGCATTTCCAGACATCTGGACTGAGAATAAGTCTGACAGGCTAAAGAGGAGTGGGAACGAGTTTTCAGAGCAAAAGTTAAAGAGAAGGTCAGCTATAAATGTAGGCCACTCCTTTTCTAAGGTGCAAGGCAAGCAGTTGGCTTTGATTTGGTTCCCCAACCTGGCAAAGTTCAACTGTCTTTTTGCAAATATGTTAATAATACACGTATGGAATCCGAGGCAAAGAGCTACCTTGTGTGCAACAAATTTTTCAGGAAGTTATTTTCTCTCTAGTAAGTTATCATTTAAGAGGCAGTCTAAATTGTTCACTGTGATAAATTTAATGGATGAGAAATCATTAAAAAAAAAAAAAAAAAGCCAAGACAGGACCAAAAGCGAATCCTCATGACTGCAGGGACTGGTCATACCAAGCTAGGTGCAGATGGCTCACCCTACATTCCTAGCTACTCAGGAGGCAGAAATTGACAAGAAGATCACAGTTTGAAGACAGATTGGACAAAAAGTTCATGAGACCCTACCTCAACAGAGAAGTCTGGGCACCTATAATCCAAGCTATGGTGGGCAGCATAAATGGAAGGATTAGCCTGGGAAAAATATGATACCTTATCTAAAAACTAACCAGTAAAAATGCTTGTGGGCATGGTTTAGCTATAAAGTGCCTGCTAGTACTGGCTAAAATAGCAACAAAATCTTTTTATTGAAAACATGCATCACAATGAAGAGAGTCAAAAAGTCTCAGTAGAGGAGGGTGGCAGGGTTCCCTCAGAACCCCGTCCAACTGGAGAAGGCAAGGCCAAGCACGGCACCCTTTGAAGAAGATCATTTCCATGACTCCACCTTGCCCTGAAGCGATGATATTCAACCTCCGCCACCTGAGCAATCCCTACGTGAACACTAGTTTACCTGTCCCTTTCATTCCCCTTTGGCCCAGTGCTGACCACTGTGAGGAACACCACTATGATGCAGAGAGAAGCCTATGACGTCAAAATGAACACTACTTTCTTCTCTAACTACCCAGCTGGCTGTGCCACCTCTGAGGAGCTGCTTTCTATCTACTTGGTCTTGCCACATCTGCCACGAAGAACAACTCCAGCTCATCTCTGTGGCCGTCTTCCTTGCCACTCCCCTCTCAGTACTCTCCTTAGCACTTTAAGAAGACAAGGCAACCCTGGAGGCACTTCCCAAATGTCAGCTTCCTTTCTGCACATAGCACACAATAACCTAGCACATGACCTACCAAGATGCCCATACCTCCAGGCCACCCGGGAGAAAAGAGCACAGCTGAGGAATAACAGGACCAGACGATCTGAATCGGCCTCCTCTACCATAGCTACACAGTATTTTGTAGTGACTAACTTTAGGCCAGCCCCTGCATTTTTATATGATTTAAATTTGACACTAATTAGACCTAAAACTACAAAGAGCAAACATTAAAAAATCATTAAAATAATAAAGTTTGGTTTCTTATATATTTTTTGATATGAGTGAAGATACTCTGCACATAATTGTCAAAAAGCTCTATGTTTTTACTTGGCATTTTTATTTGTTCTAATTGATGAAAATGATATATATCTGTCATGATAACATCATATTATGTACTGAGGACACTTCCAATCTATTCTGCTGGCAATTTTTAAGAATATGATGCATGGGCTGGGAAGGTGGCTCAGTGGTAGAGCGCTTGCCTTGCATGCTCGAGGCCCTGGGTTCGATTCCTCAGCACCACATAAGCAAAAAGAAAAAAGCCGGAAGTGGCGCTGTGGCTCAAGTGGTAGAGCGCTAGCCTTGAGCTGAAGAGCTGAGGGACAGCACCCAGGCCCAGAGTTCAGGCCCCACGACCGGACCCAAAAAAAAAACAACAAACAAAACTTATTTGAAGGGAGAACAAAGTCACGCCCAAGGCTTAAGCCAGGGGACTCTGTTACTTCCCCACCTAAGATAAGGCCACTGGAAAACACTCAGGACTAAGAAACCTGTCACAAGGTACAAGGGGAACAGTTCCCTTGCTTCTGGCTTTTTTATTTTTCTTATTTTTGTTGGTTGTGGGGCTTGAACTCTGGGCCTGGGCACTGTCCCTGAGTTCTTCAGCTTAAGGCTAGCAGTCTACCACTTGAGCCACAGTGTCACTTCTGGTTTTAGTGGTTAATTGGTGATAAGAAACTCATGGTTCTTCCTGCCCAGACTGGCTTTGAACCGTGATCCTCAGATCTCAGCCTCCTGAGTAGCTAGGATTACAGGTGTGAGCCACCAGCACCCGGGTCTTCTGGCTTTTAAAGTGAAATTAAGAAACTATGTTTGTGATGGCAAGACTCATTAAAACTGTGAAACATACAGTAACCCACTTAAAATTCTGCCATTTCAATATGTGTACTTAGTGTCATCAACATTAACATCACATTATATCTACATTTTATTGTTCAAGTGTCTATCATCTTTCTTCATCTATTTGAAAAACTGACAGCACTGTGTTTTCTGGAGACTCTGGATTCCTCTCTGACTGAACATTGCTGTACCAGTAAGGAATGAATAGAAATTACTCTCTTTACATACTAAGATATTCTAGCTAAAGCCTGAGCCTCTGGCCACATCTTGAAACCACTAGTCTAAAAATACTCAAACAAGAAGTCCTTGCCTTCTCAGTTATCACTGAGCAGTCTAAATCTTGTCATTTCTGAAATGAAGGCCAACACCTTGGAGATGAGGAGGGAGGAGAGGGAAGTCAGACCCACAGTCTGTCTCCCTGGCATCGCACGCGGTGTGGCTGCCCGGTGCCACTCCAGATGAGATCTTCTGTGCTAAAATGCTTTCTGAAGGCAATGCTGCTACCAAAGCTACCTACTGGGGCACACTGAAGGGACTGGCTAAAAAGTAAAATTCTGCCCACTGTTCAAAACCATCCAGATCCTCCAGTTCTCTTCCATGGCAGATTATTGATTGTAACTGACAGACAAGATGAAACTGGAATCCTGGGCTCTAAATCACTGCTGCGTATGTTGAGGAACTCACCGTTCTTCCTTTCGTTCAGAGGGGGCAGGTGCTGACTGGACTGCAGGGAGAGCTCCTGGAATTCATGAGCCACCGCTTCACTCTGAGGACTTGGCGCAAGAGGAGCTAGAGGTCCCAGCTCGTCCTCCGTGTCTATGGCCCCCATGTGATCCATTGTGTCCAGCTACTGGCGACAGGGAGTGTGAGATTCACCTTACACGTGGCCTGTTGAAGAGACTGTCAGAACAAAGTATGGGTAAATAAATGGCACGCTAATTGTTCTTCAGCTTCCACAGAAGTGGCAGTGCAGGGTTCTAGTTCAATTTTACTGCTGTGTCCATTACCAATTCATTTACCTTTCTGGAATAATAGGAATAATGTACTTCTTAGTTAAAACTTTACTTATTCTAATTTATTTACTTTATAAGAGTAAATAAAGGGCTGGGAAGTCAGCTAAGTGGTAGAGTGCTTGCCTTGTACACATGAGGCCCTGGGTT